TTTAGTAGGTTCACCAAAATAATCACTTCATTATGTACCTTAGGTACGGATATTTCCATTTATTAAAATATGACTAAAATATGACATAATTTGGCTAATTCTTATAATGTTAAAGTCGCTGTCATATCTAAATAAAAATATCATAATATGTACTCTATTAAAAATCTTTATGGCTCTCTTATTAATTATGAGTAAAATGTGAGTCAAAGTCTTTCAGACGTAGATGACAGGAAGAAGAAAAAACAATAGAATTGAAGGTTGATCGCATCGAGAGAGCAGCAACTCAAGAGCTAATGGGAGTAAGGACAACATTGATGACTTGCCAATTCAAGAGCTTCCTCAAACAAAAATATAAGCACGACTTCAACAAGAGCAAAGATAAAAATGGTAAGTTCATTAAGACTTCATCTGAAATGATTTGTTTTGAGTATAAGAAGCCTCAGAACAAATTAAAAAGTAACATTTCAAGCAAAAGCTCCTCTTGCAAAAGCTAACAAGAAGTCATGGATTTGCTCCTTTGTCTATAGATTTCTAGCAGCCTCCCTGAACAAAGTTGCAGCTCTTAGGTATCATATTGATAATTTGATATGTTATCTTGAATTTTGAGTTGCATTTTCGGCTATGCCTTCTTGTAATCAGCTTTTGCAGTTAATGAAACTTTTTGAACTATGCCCCTAATATTTCCCAAAAAATAATAATAATAGCTTTTTATAACTAATTCTTCAAAGCAACTTTTCAACCTACCTTTTGTAAGACCTAAAGCCATTTTCGATTGTAGCATTAGTATAATGAAAAGTGATGTGTCGTGTTAGGTTTCCATACAGCAATTGTATATCATATCACATGACTGCTCTGAAAACATAATGACTAAAGAATGAGTGATCCAGAAGGATCATTTAATTAATGCTAAGTTATTTCATATTCTGAATGTTTGCATTATAAGAGAGCATAATAGTAACTTGAGTGATGCAAAGATGAGGATGCTCACGTGAATGAGTGGTTTTACCCTTAGAAATAGGATCAAATTAGCATATGCGTGAAAAGGTTGGAGTAGCGCCAGTAGAAAATAAGATTTGAGAGAGTCGCCTTAGATGGTTTGGTCACATAAAACGGCGGCTTTTTTTTTTTAACGGTGGCTTTCTGATGACTTGGTTAGGAAATTAGAGATATTAGATTTGACTTATATTAAGAAAAATAGACCTAAAAAAACTTGGTTAGAAAATACTAAAAAAGATCTTTCTTTATTAGATTTAATGAGAATTTGACTTTTAACATGACAAAATGGAGAAAAAGGATTCATGTAGCCGACCCCACATAGTGGGACAAAGGCTTGATGATATTGCTGTTGTTGTTTATGGTACATAGTCATAGTTTGCATAAAAAAGAGAACAAATTATATTTCTAAATAAAATAATTAAAAAGATAATTAATTAAAAAAAAACACAATCTCAAACTCTCTTATTAAAACTATGCAATTGTACATGAGAGCATGAATTTGCAAGAACATGTCTGGCACAATCACAAACTAATATCAAATGCTGCACCAAGCAAATAAGATGCCACATGGACTTCTTCGGCAATTTGAAACAATAACAAGGCAATGTGGTGAAGCAAGAAGGATTCAAATGATAGTGCAGGCAAACTATGGGCTCTAATCTTCAATTAACCATATCTATGTAACAAAAGGAGTTGCCAACATTTTAAGAATATTTGAAAATGGAAAACCTCAAGTTGCCAACTTCATAAATTTAGTAGAATACATGATTTTGAATTCGTCCCTGTTAGATTATGCTTGGGAAGATAACAAAATGATTCTAAAGATATGAACGAATAAAAGAGCAAAAGGGATGAGAGAGCTTAAGTTTCTATAATTCTCCAAGTGAATTGGTCTATAAATTGCTTGGTTAAACCCCTTCAACAAAGAAGAATAAGTCAAACCAACTATAAAGATAATTTAGAGATACTTTGAATATTGAGCGTAAAAAACATTTTAGCAAAAATAATATTACACGAAAGATTCTATATGTTAGATTCGAATGTCTATCCTTGACCAATGATTTATTTATAGATGACAATAAAGGAAAGCTACATAAAATTCACTACATAATATAATTGTATAGAAAACATATTGTTTTTACTTAGTATGAATAGCTACAACATGCCAGTCTAGCTTATAGTTGATTGTTAGTCAGAAATTCGATCGAGTTTTGGATTGAGGGCAAAAATCCTTGATGAAATTTTAAGAAGAGAACCCCAAGTCAATTGCAAGTACTCTATGGCATGTTTAGAGGTTCAAAACTGAATGCCAAGAAAGGGATAGTTATTTGATTGCTAGATGAAATTCAACTGTGAGTTACTCAAGGCTTTTAGCTTGCTTAAAACTTAGCAAGTTCTAAGTTGTAGGCAGTTCAAGCTTATTCTAAATCTTGTGAGATCATTTCAGACTTGTAACTTTATAAATCCAACCCAAATGAATATAAGTAAACAATTTTTAACCTGAAATAAGCACAGATTGAAAAGAAATAGAAGAATTTCATGAAGAACACTAACATCTAAAGAAGAATGTTCAACAACTGGCAAGGTTTAACATAAGAACAGTTAAACAAAATACTGTGATCACAGTATGCACGTGTTGGCTAAACCTTCTTCTTGACGGTGCCAACATAGATTTCTTTTATTGATTTCTTAACTAAATAATGAAGGAAAAATAATTGAGTTGACGTATACAAGGGTTGAAGGAGACTAGGTACATCCATAATTTTTTTCCCTTAAAAAAAAGCTTCTTTAAGAGGTTAGATTGAAATTATTAATGATTATTCTAGTATTTGTTAGAAAGTAAACCAATCACAAAATATTTGAAAAGGGGATCTAGACATCCACAAACGATTATTTTTTTATGAATTTAGAGTTTGCCTGAATTGGGCAATTCCAAAAGCAAGAAAAACTCACAATCTGTGACCTAGCAGTTCTCAAATGTGATCATCGCACATTGCACCCAGTGGTCACCATTCCGCCACTGCTTCACCCTACCCACCACCAATGCTCGTCGTATGCCACGTTCGTCAATCATCATCATCTAGCACCATCATCCTCCAATGTCATCCATTGATGCCAATAACGTCCCTCTACAACACACTATTGCCACAAACAATTATAACAACTCGTGATCACCCACCTTTGCTTTCCATCATCGTAAATTGTTGGCATTTACTACCCACAACTGCAAACATTACCCAAGCATCCCCTCGTTGCATTTTAATTCCTTTTAACTATATCATAAAAAATATTTTTAAAAAAAAATTCAATATATTTGATTTACATTCAACAAAACAACTACTACATTTTCAAAATACATGCATTTCAATTATTCTCGAATTATAAAATACATTTACTTTAAAAACATCAAACTAAACAAGCCCTTCAAGATTCAAGGGTAGTAATGAAGTGCAACTAAAAAGTTGTAATTCATTTTAATATTAAATTTTCACACATTTACTATAATAGTAATAATTCATAAAGGATTCAAAACAACATTTTTTACCTTAAAGTTCAAAGCTTGTTATATTTTACCAAAATACCATATCGAACTACATGCCACACCATATTATAAATTTATCTAAGTCACAAATTAATAGATATTCACATTCATTACATTATCATCATAATAATCTAATCCTAACCATTATGAATCATATTTATTTAATTTTGTGTCATATTTTATACAAAATATTAACTCTAACATACACAATTCTATTTGCATAACTTCTAACCATATTTTCATATATTTAACACTTTTCCTTTTTATTTATCACCATCAATGGTCTTATCCAAATTCCAAACTCCATCTAGCACGAGCTTCATCCTCCACTCATTCCTCTACAACATGAGACAATAACTTTATTTTTACCAAAACATTTTGAACAACTTCTAGCATTATTACCTATGTAGTACCCCATTTCTTCCTAACCTTCAAAATTTTCATTGACTCAATTTATTAGTACATCTCTTATCCCCTATTCTACATGCCCAAATCATCAAATCTAGTTTCCACTTCCTTATCTTCATAAGTTTACTATCACTATTCTCCTAATATGAATAAATTTCAATTTATCCTAATTATGCCAGACATCCATACTAACATTCTCATTTTTATCACATTTAATTGCTATGATACCTTTATAACCAAAAACATTGATCTATATATAAAAAGAAATGGTGTAGTCAGTGCATGAAGCTCCAATCAATGTAAGCTATGAGATGATAGATGTACGCCACCTTATCCCATCCATACAAAGAAAATATTTCCAATGAAATGAATTTGAGATTAACAAATCACAATGAAGGCAACTAAGCACTGCTCCAAATCAGACAAAAAATAAATTTAAATAAAAAATTTAGAGTACATCTGATTATATATATATATATATATATAAACATTTATTTCTTTATTAGATTCAGTTACCACATATCACACCTACAACAATTACAGCAAAAAATAATCTATTATGATGTCTTTCCCCAAAAACTATCATGTTTTGTAAAGGCCTCCCCCCACTATGTAGCACTCTTGAAAGTTTTCCACACAAGTTTTATGCTCACTAAACTTTAACAAATAGCATTAGCTTGAATTCATTGAAATCAAATCGTTCATTTTTCTTATTGGAATAGCACATTATGTTTGAAGATGCATTTATTTACTTATGTGTCTACCATCTAGGTCACAATTTATTGCGTATGTCAAGTTTGCACACTTCAAAGAAACTTTCTCCATTGTTATATATCATATAACAAACACATCATGGAGCTAGTAGTTTAACTTTAAGCTCCATCATGCACTCTATTTCCATCATCATTACCCATCCGTTAGTAACAACTCTTAAAACTTCTGATGCTGAAGAATACAGTTTCTCTCACTTGTTGCTGATGATCTTACAAAGGTCTCAAGTACTCTAGGATTAATGAAAACGCAACAAAAATTGAGAACTAATATGTGCTAAAACTTCATAAAAAAAGCATAAATTTATTTTCTATTAACTTTCAATTACACTACTTAACAACAGGAATTGAAGTACAGGTCATGATGAAAAATGAAAAGCATGGAATACATATGCTATCTGTTTGCCCTGTTGCAGAAGCTTAAGATTACGCCTCATTTGAATTTTGTAGTAGTGTTGAAAAAGAGCTACTTGGTATTAAAGGTAGATTTATATAAGAGTTCTAAAGAAAGACGAGAAACACACTCCTGGGTATTTATTCATGAAGCCGGAAAGAATAAATGCTATAACTCCATTTATCAATAGACTTGATGAAGGGAGCTCACAGTTCCTGCAATATGATAAGGAATAGTTCTTAGGAATGAAAAAAAAATCCACAGTGGCTGGCACCAAACACTCTAAGGCATTCTTTTTTATAATTCACAATCCACAAATTCTAACGTTCTCACCTAGGCTATAGTATGTCAATTTGCATAGTCCCAGCCATCACTCTTAATCTTAGTAGGTGTCGAGAAAAAGCAACAATCTGACCAGGAGTTCTTAGTTTTAGTTTCTTGTGATATTTCACCCCTCTTGGAAACGAGTTCAGCCATGTATTTAACAGCAGCCTGAAGAAAAATTACATTAGTTATCCAGATAAAGAAAAACATAAGAACTAAATAAGAAAGTTGTAGGGAAATGGACTGGCACCTGTGCTCCCTTCTCAGCTATTTGCCGTGGAGGTACCTCCAATGGATTCTCCTCAGCATGTAGCAGACGAAGCTGAGACAGCATTCCAAAAGAGTCTGGGAGGACCCTAATCTGATTATTGCTGACATCCAACTCTTCAAGCATCTCAAGATTACCAATGGAACGAGGGAGAGATAGCAGATTGGCAAAATTATTTCCTATATTCAACTTGGTGAGCGAAGTAGCAAGACATAAGCTTTCTGGAATGGATTCAAGCTCATTAAAGCTGGCATCAACCTCCTTCAATTTCGTTAGAGAAGCCATTGTGGTTGGAAGTCCTTTTATATTGTTATAACGAACCGTTAAAACCTGCAAGGACTCGAGTTTTCCTATTGCTTCTGGAAGGGCCTTTAAGCGATTATAATCTGCTCGAAGCTCCTCTAGAGAAATGCAGTTTCCAATGGTATAAGGGAATTCTTCGAGATTATTTGTCTCAACATTCAATTTCTTCAAGTTTACAAGATTTCCAATTACATCTGGGAGCATCAAAAGTTGGTTTGAACTCAAATCAAGCTCTTGAAGAAGTTGTAATTTACCAACACTAGACGGCAATGATGTCAGCTGGTTCCCAAAGAGATTAAGATACAAGAGACTGATGAGATCCCCTATGGTGTCCGGAAGTTCAGCAATCTGATTTGAATGGAGATCCAATTTTGTTAAAGAAGTAAGCGCACTTATTGTGGTAGGAAGAGCAACCAGCCGGTTTTCTGATAGATCGAGTGTGACCAGACCCAATAACTTATCTATCGTATCAGGAATCCAGCCAACTTGATCCATCAGCTTATTCTTAAGATTAAGGTTCTGGGTGCCATTCTTCGCAGAGACTTCAATCAATCTAGCTAACTTAATGAGGCTCAGTTTTCCGTTATCTTCGGCTGCTAATGGCAAGTAAAAGAAACTGGTTCACCAAATTGCCGCCAACAAACATGAATGAAATAATATGTTGTTATACTTCTCTAGTTGTAACAATCATCAAAGTTAAGCAAGTGTAAGGAAAGAACAATTATCCAATTGAAAAAAAACAAAATATATTTAATCCATGGAACACCAAACTCACCAGAGATAGGTGCAAGCCTGCTACTAGGGGCAGAGTTCAAGAACAACCCTCGGTGGAGATTTAAGTCGCCACTATACTCGTCCTCACTCACCGCAGACTTTGCTTTTTTAACATAACTATCATCTCTAGTAATCCTCTCAGAATTCCTTGTAAAATCTTTATTAAAGCCCATTACAGCACCGAAAGAGCTGAAATTAGCTTTTGAATTAGAAGCAATGTTCCCAATTGAATTCATAGAAGTTGAAGGCATTGAATTCGATGAAGCTGAGCCTTGACTTGCCATAGGAAGACATGTTGAAGCTTGTTGAATCAATTCATCGAACAGGATATGGATATTATGAAGCTCAAGTAGTTGAAGAGCTTCCCGCTTCTGCTCTTTACACTGAAAATATATTGATTTTTTCTGCATTTCTTGGAGAATGAAGAAGAGTTCGTCAGGGACCTCGAATGCCTTCTTCTGTTTTGAGATGACGTCGACTTGGACTTGCTCCTCCCTATCTACATGATGAAGTAAAACTGTCGCAGCTTCGACCTCATCTATGGTGGGTCTCGCTGGAAGAGATCTGTGAATCCTCATGATCTCTTCCACAACCCCATTAACTGCTTCAAGACAAGGACCCATTTTGTATAAACTTTGGCTAACCAGATCAACAAAAAGTTATCCAACTCCTGTTGATAAGTAAGAAAGCTCCGATGGCATTAAGAACTAACTTTGCAAACAAATGGTAAAATCTCCATGTTTCCAGATTCTTCTTTCCTCAAGTAAAAGAAACGGATCTCCTCCATCTGAAAGCAACAAATCGTTGCTAAAAATCGAAATTAAGAAACCCATTAGAAAAAACGAACGGAATCTACAGCGAAAAAGGGCAAAAATAAAGAAAGGAGAGAACAAACTTTGAGAACTACCATAAAAACACGAAAAATTCCCGATAATTAAACGTAAATTTTCAAAGAAACCAAAAAAAGGAAAACTTTTGCCTCAAGATCAGATATTCTGATGCGTTTATCACCATCTTACCCAATCACCCTCAAGAAAGGAGTACCGATAAAACTAGAGGGACAAGAGGAACAAAAAATTAAAATAAAAACTCGAATCCTTCTTATCTTCGATCACCACTCAATGAAGCATCCCTTCGCCGAGGAAGAAAATTGGCACGCCAAAACAGAGTAACCCTTCCGAGCAAAGCTATGAGCAAAAAATTAAAAGAATTACATAAATCTCGTTCTTCCAAAACAAACAAGAAATAGGACGAAGAACAAGTCTGCTATCTGAACAATTCGAGGTTAAAGTTTTTTCAATCTCCGGCCGCATTTCATTGATAAAAGAAAAACAAGGCCCAGCTGATTTTACCACGGCAGCGAAGAAGTCTCGCTTTTAAATTAATTAACTAAATAAAATCGCTCCTTTCTGCATGATTATGATTTTTTTTTTTTTGGCATTAATGTAAAAATAATTTCTTTTATCAATAATTTTCAATTCTTTTAAAATCGGACCGGTCAATGAACCGGAAGAAGGAGGGATTAGAGGTTTGATGGTTCGATCGGGGTCGAACCGGATGACGTAATAAATATTTATTATATTTAAATATTATAATAATGACACAACTATTTATAAATATATAGCAAAATTGAAGAAAATTATAATACTTTTACTTATCTAATAGAGAAATGCTAGTCAAATAAATTCAAACATTTAAATCTAAATGATATAAACTATATTACCATAGATAATACTAAACCCAATAGTTTCTAAAAGCAGAATCACATCTATTTTCGCTCCAGAAACATAATAGATCTGTAAGATCAAACAAGATCCATATATGAATCAAATATAATAGCATTTGGTAATAATTAAACATGTAAAAATTTATGATTTAAGACTACATGGAAGGAAGGTACAATGGAAGATAGTTGCGAAGGATTTAATATTTTAATTTATTATGCTTCCACAATGTGCTGCACATTGTTCATGCTTTGGAGATTTATCCAATTATACCTTACAAACCAACTAATTTACTTTGCTCAAGCTTATACATGTGCTTATCCTTATGCAGGAAACAAAAAACCTAAAATAGATCAAGATGCTCCTTCAAGTATGATATCTAAATATGTAAAAAACTTTAAAAAATATTATTCAACTATAAAAAATAATTATTTCTATTATAATTTATATGATATATTTTTTACTCGAGTGGTTTGACAAACAAAAATGAATTCACATAAACTTTATAATATATATAATGAAAAATATAAAAAATAAAATCCGAACCGGCTTTCAAATTGGTTCACGGTTGGACCGGACTGCGGTGCAGTCCGGTTTTTAAAGCATTTATAATTTTAAGTGTTTCAAAAATTGAATGTCTCGGCGGTCCGACCGGTTCAAATGTTAATATATGACTCCATGCCCCTTCATGCATATCATTTTCTCTTAGGACAACTCTTAATTGAAAAATCCATTTTCTACTACAAAATACAGTAAAATTAAAAAAAAATATATAATAATTCATCTCTAATTGAACTCTATTTTTTCTACTCTTCCGCACGATTTTCATCTCACTACAAAGGACCTGTCTTTTTCTTCTTTCACGCGCTTTTTCTGCAAATCCTGTAAGTCTTTTTTTTTGCATAGGTGAACAGTGTGACGCCTATAGTGGCATCGCAATACTTACTCCTGGAGATTAGCAGACATTTTCATGTTCGATTAGATCATTTCGTAGACGATATACACTTGTTACGGTTCGATTGTGGATGGTCTTAAAATTGCATTGAAAGAGGCCAAACCGGCTAGTGAATCAGTGAACCGGTTGTGATTTCAATAAAATACTTAGTTCTTATCCATCACCATTTTGTTCAATTAAATAATCAAGGCTTCATTTGGGACGACTTGTTTATTGATTCTTAAAATAGAGTTTTAGTACAAAAATTAAAATATATGTACTAAAACGCTATTTTAAGAAGCAATAAATAAAAAAGTCATCCCAAATAAAGCTTAAATTAATAATTTAGATTAAATAAAATTATTTATATTTACAACAAACTCGAAACCCCCTAACTTCTGGATGTTTTTAATTTGTGAGAACTTTTATATGTCCTAAATAAAGTATGAATTTCAATTGTAGCTATTGGAATAACGTCACGTCCAACTATTTTTCCATACTTCATATTATGTAAAGCCTTTATAACTTCGGTTTTACTAATACATCGATAAATGTATAAATCCTTATTTTCATTTAGGGTGCTAAGGTCACTAAAGTCAATTGTATTTTTACATTCTTAATTAAAATGTTTAGCAAAATATCTCATCCACCTTTGTTGAATATCTTCTAAGAAAAGTACTTTTTATCTTCATCTTTAGTACAATTCACTTAAATAAATCCTTACTACTCTCATCTCTTTATTTGGCTAACTTATACATATATTTTTCTCCCTAAGTATCTAATATAATATATAAATCATTAAATGCTAAGATTTTTACATCGCATGTTGCTTTCTTAGATTCCTTCTATGCCTCTTTATATCTTTTCCAAATATCAAAATTTTAACATCTAAACCCTTTTTTATGAGAAATCTTCTTATTTTTCATATTTTCTTGCACATTTGGATTCCATCACCAACTATTTTAATTATTAGAATCTTTTTCTTTTGATATTACAAGCACATCTTTTGCAATATTTTTAATATCACAAGCCACCTTTTCCCGCATAACATTAGCATCACCGTGTATAGATAAAATCTTAAGATATAAAATGTTAATCTCAAAAGTATTTTTGTTAATATTCATTAAATACACCTATCTAATCTTAGAATATCATTTTACTTAGAATTTGACTGCAATTTGATAATCTTAGAATTTTTAGGAAGTTTCTAAACTTCTCTGACCTAGAATTTAGAAAATTTTCCTAACCTAACCTAGTGTTTGGATGAAGTTGAAATCAATGATATTCTAACCCTTATACCTATCCCTAACCTACACAAACATATCAAGGAAAGATACCTTATGGATTCATAAATATGAATTTTTAAATTTCGAGGTCATTATTTGACCCATCAACTTAAAAATTCAAATTAGGCTAAAGGAGAGCCCAAATTAGTCCATGAAAAGTCAAAGATTTATAAAATATCCCCAATTTCCTATGGCTTAAATTTGGTCTCCAACTATGCATATTTAGGTTTAATTAAATCAATTAATTGTCACCATATAAAGGCTAACTAACTAATTCTAGACTTCATTAAGTCATGCAACCTATACCATTAAAAAGTAGACATCGCATTGAATCCATAAAAGTATTACATTCCTTATTTGGTCCAATGGATGTTTAGATATATATATTTTTTAAGGATCCGTCCATTTAAAAATGAAATTTAATACATATTTAGGCTAATCACAGTTGATAGAACCTAATTCGGCATTTAAACCATGTGGACTAGAACTACCAACTCAAGCATAATGTTAGTCGTTCAATCTGTGATTAAATAGCTAAGATTCAAGGAGGCTAAAACTATGAGGAAGGGCCATACAATGAGATCAGAGCAGCAAGATTAAATATAGAGTAATGAATAGCTTTGATTTCATTTTCTACCTCTCACATGTGATTTAAACAATATATTTGATATTGTCAAATTATGGCATTCAACTTCACCAAATCACACCAAAATGATCCAGTCCAACGACTAAATTGCAACGAATTATCTATTATCTTCATATATTCCCAAATCTCTAAAACCTACTATATGGGATCACAATATACGAAAATTACCCATTTTCGACAATAATTTTTGGCGGTTTGTAAATTTTCTATCAATTCTTAAATCGTTGGAATAAACCTCATAGGAAATGCAAACCGGTGGCAATATTTTTTGGCAATTTTTTGGTGGCTCAAACAGCTAGAAATTAATGAACCCAAAACTGTAGGTAAACCGCAAAAAAAATTCTGATAAAAAACTGTCCGCGACCACCGGTTTATTCCTAGTGCTATAAACCATCAATATTGTTGGCGGCTAACCTGCGGTTATTATCAGTGACAAAACAAAAAACTGACAGCAACTTGATGCCATCCGGTATCAAAGTTTCTGGTGGCTGAACCGCTGATTAATAGCCTCCCACCATCCCAACATATTTTGATAATTACCTGCGCGCAGTTCAAATAATATATAAAACCCTTTTGGCCATATACTCAGGCAATTCAAAATATAATATATAAAATGCATTAACATCCACAATCCACAATCAATAAAATGGTTCTTCAATCAAATAACAATGCATATGATATAAATAAAGTGCATATGTTCTAAATAACAATACATATATATATTCTATAATCAACATAATATATGAAGTCTATAATGCATATGTTCCAAATACACAAAATAGTTCTTCAAACAAATAATAATAACACTAATAATCTTCTATGTCCTCGATGAAGAGCTTGTCGAACTATTCACATCCTCTAATTGTATTTTAACATTATGTGTTATAGTTGACATATCATCAATTTCAATAGAACTATAATCTAACATCTCACCCTCTTTATAGGAAGTAGCTTTGATGTATTGTTAGTTAATTATCATCCGTGCTTTGGTTTTTATGACAGCTAGTCAATCTTGCTTATCTCTGCAGCTACTTAACTATTTACTGAAATAAATTTAAACAGTTTGACTTGCTAGCACAAATGGATCAAACTACTTGTATTTTCTACTATATTTTACTTCTATTAAAGCATATGCAGGATGAACTCTTATATCTTTATTCGGTATTAGATCATACCATTGATAGTTGAATAAACATATAAGATTCTCATCTTCTCCTGAGCACTATAGCTCAAGAACCTCATTTACAATGCCGTAACAATTACACTCATCTTCATCATGAATATTTCCTCTAACCCAAACTCCACTTTATTAAGTTTTTTTCTTCCTTCACTCCATAACTTGGAATAAAATCTGAACCTATTAATTATATATATTGGTCAGGTATTTACTTTTTGCATTGAGCCCCATGCTAGTGCTTGCAGCTTTTTATTAAAAATTTAGTTAGAGGGGTTATATACCTAACAAAGTTTTAAAATGTTAGGGCTTTTAATATTAAATAAGATATAAATCAATAAAAAGTTTAAAATTTTAGGGCTCACGTAAGATCTAAACTAAGCTGAGAATTCATTTGCAACAAGTTGCTCAACATCTGCAGTATCTGTTAGAGATAAATTGCTTATAAAATACTTTGTGACAAATCATCTAAGTAAAACTTCAGTATTAAACATTAACATGATTACTTTTGCACATTATGAAAACTTACTCTAAGATTGGTTAGACATCCTAACAGCTCAATAACACATATAAAGTCATTGT